GAGGAGGCATCTACAACTTCCTTGGGCAACCTGTTCCAGTGTCTGACCACCCTCACAGTGAAGAACTTCTTCCTAATATCTAATCTAAACCTCCCCTCTTTCAGTTTAAACCCATTTCCCCTTGTTTTGTCATTAACTGCCCTTATGAAAAGTCCCTCCCCAGCTTTCTTGTAGCCCCTTCAGGTACTGGGAGGCCGCTATAAGATCTCCCCGGAGCCTTCTCTTCTCCAGGCTGAACAGCCCCAACTCTCTCAGCCTGTCCTCACAGCAGAGCTGCTCCAGCCCTCGCATCATCCTGGTGGCCTCCTCTGGACTTGTTCTAACTGGTCCATGTCTTTCTGATGTTGGGGGCTCCAGAACTGGATGCAGTATTCCAGGTGGGGCCTTACAAGAGCGGAGTAGAGGGGCAGAATCACCTCCCTCGACCTGCTGGACACGCTTCTCTTGATGCAGTTGGCCTTCTGGGCTTATCACATTGCAGAAACAGCGAATGTTAACTGCAGCAGTCAGTATTCAACAGCTGCTAATCACAGACTCATGTGTTTTCTTTTTAATATAGCTGAGCTATTCCCAGTTAGAGTCCTGTGGCAGTTCAAATGTGAACTTCAGAGAATATTTCTGTAGTGTTTCTGAAGAAAAGACTCATTAGGAAGCTGTGTTATCACCGTGATTTATTTTTTTAAAGTATAAGCTAAAGGTTTCAATGTACAGACTGATATAACCCCATTACAGTGAGGGTGACAGAGCCCTGGGACAGGCTGCCCAGGGAGGGTGTGGAGTCTCCTTCTCTAGAGACGTTCAAAACCCGCCTGGACACCTTCCTGTGTGATCTCATTTAGGTTCCTGCTCTGGCAGGGGGATTGGACTGGATGATCTTTCGAGGTCCCTTCCAGTCCCTCACATTCTGTGATTCTGTGATTAGTATAGTATAGATTAGCATAGTAGATTATTAATAAAGCTATCTGTGTATTTAAAAATGGAAATTATTCTGAGCTCTAAGTGAAAGGGAGGGAGGGAGCTTGCTAATAAATGTATCTGCAGTTAGGAAACTGGTGGTGTTGTCTCACTGTGTGCATAAGAAAGGGCTCTGACAGCTGGCTTGTGATTTCTCTGCTATAAAAAATGAGGCAAATTGTGGGGGGGAAGAAAAATTGTGGGGGGAAAGTGTATACGACTTAAGTTTGATATGATTAAGTGTTGGGGAAAGACTACATGATGAGATAGATCTCAAGGAAAATGTTCTCCATTAAATGAGTAATTTATCCCATTAATTCCATTGTGGCTGCATGCCACAAGTCAATACAACCATGGTGCTAATTCCTTACTGCTCTGCCCAGAACCCGTTTCCCTCTCACTTGTTGAATTAGCTTGATGATCCTGTCTTCCCTCCAAGCCTCATGCTGTCAGATCTCTGCATTACTTGGATTTTCTTTACAATAACATTTTCCTGTTGCTCTCTGTGCTCTGTAGGAATCACCAGTTTCTTGCCTAAGCTTTCATAGAGTCATAGAATTGTTTTGGTTGGAAAAGACCTTTAAGATCATTGAGTCCAACCTTTCTTTACTGACTCTTTCCAATCCCTCTTCTGGAGAATCACAGAATGTTAATGATTGGAAGGGACCTCGAAAGATCATCTAGTCCAATCCCCCTGCCATCTTTAGTGTTTCTGCTGTGCTGTCCCTAGAGAACGCAGAGGTCCAGCATCTCACCCAACAGAGTGATCTGCTCAAGCTCTGCTCCTGGCTCTGCACTTAGACACTCAGCATTTCTCCTCTTCTGTGATCCCAATGTCTGATTTCCCACTTCAAAACAAAGCCACTTCTCACAGTCTAGTTCTCAGGCACATCATTTACTTCTGCAGAAAAAGCTGCCCTCCTTCCCTCCTTCCCTCCTTCCCTCCTTCCCTCCTTCCCCTCTCGGAGCCTCAGCTGCCTTTTCTCTGTGGTGTGGAGATCAAAGAGGGTGGCTGTTGACTAACAGTTGCTGCTGGTTCTTCTGGGCTTCTTGCCTTCTTTTGAATCAGCACCACAAGGGCGTGTCTCTCAGTGGGACGTTCTGCACGCGTGTGCATCGTGGTGCAGATCTTTGGGTGATAGGGGCCCCGTAACTCACAAACAACAACTTCCAGCCCAGTGCTATCATAGAATCACAGAATGTCAGGGATTGGAAGGGACCTCTAAAGATCATCCACCCTGCCAGAGCAGGAACCTAAATGAGATCACACAGGAAGGTGTCCAGGCGGGTTTTGAATGTCTCCAGAGAAGGAGACTCCACAAACTCTCTGGGCAGCCTGTCCCAGTGCTCTGTCACCCTCACTGTAAAGAAGTTCCTTCTGAAGTTTAAGCGGAACCTCCTGTGTTCCAGCTCACACCCATTGCCCCTTGTCCTACCATTGGGCATCACTGAGAAGAGCCTGGCTCCATCCTCCTGACATTTGCCCTTTACATTTTTATAAACATTAATGAGGTCTCCCCTCAGCCTCCTCTTCTCCAAGCTAAAGAGCCCCAGCTCCCTCAGCCTTTCCTCAGCAGGGAGATGCTCCACTCCCTTCATCATCTTGGTGGCTCTGTGCTGGACTCTCTCCAGCAGTTCCCTGTCCTTCTTGAACTGTGGGGCCCAGAACTGGACACAATATTCCAGATGTGGCCTCACCAGGGCAGAGTAGAGGGGGAGGAGAACCTCTCTTGACCTACTAACCACACCCCTTCTAATGCACCCCACTAGATACTAGATAATTCACTATGAATGAGTTCCCGTTCCTTCAAGCACAGAAGCTTCTGCCTCTGGGTGAACGCTGTGTCATAGCGATTGAAATTGAGATTTCTCATATTTTCTAACATTTTCTTTCCCCCCTCTTTACAGGTATCCTCTGACAAATTACACCTTTGGCACCAAGGAGCCCCTGTACGAGAAGGACAGTTCCGTGGCAGCTCGGTTTCAGCGCATGAGGGAAGAGTTTGACAAAATTGGGATGAGGCGGACGGTGGAAGGGGTGCTGATTGTACACGAGCACAGGCTGCCCCACGTCCTGTTGCTGCAGCTGGGGACAACTTTTTTCAAGCTGTAAGTGTTTGCTTCCTGAATAGAACTTTTTAGTTTGAACTTTATTGTCACCACTAAACACCCAGGGTAGAAGCTGAAGTGTGGCTAATGATAGGAGATGTTTTGAATATGATTCATTTGCTGGGAAGATTTATTGTGGGAAAACCTTTTTTGAATGGTGAGGTTTTCATCTAAAATGTATTTGTCCGAGTCTACTCGTGTGGGGTGACAGTTTTGAACCAACTGGACATCTTAGTTACGGTGCATTGCTGTGGTAGATTCCTGTTTAAAGCTCGTTATCAGTAATTAAAAGTGTTGTTCTTACATTGTGAAACCTGTTATGCTTAAATATGCTTATGCTGTGGCTGTAAAGAGAAGCTCAAGGCATAAACCCCAACACATGCAGAATGATTCCTGTTTCCAAACTCCTGAGTGAGCTGGGGACAGCGAGAAAGGCGGGCATCTGGATTTGAGAAAGTTGCTTCGGTTCATCTGATGGTTAACACTGCTGGAGTGAAATTGTTGTGTTTGGATCATATGGCCATAGTGATGGTGGTGGTGCTCGTTTCCTTTTTTAAACTGGATGGGCTTGACTTGACCCAAGTTATTCTGCCTGTCTTCTTTTTCTTTTGTTTTTAACATTTACATTGTTCTCAAGTGCGTGTGTGAAATCTGATTTTATATCCAGATTCTTTTTTTGACATCTTGATTTGGGGGATGTTTGTGGATAAAATAGGCTAGACTCTTTTGCAAAACTCTGTAATGATGAAAATGTGTTGGGTTTTTGTTTTTTTTAGGGTTTTTTGGGGGTTTTTTTAATTAACCTTGCATCAAATGCAGGGTGGTTCCCCACGTGAGTTTTATTTTCTGCTTCCTGTGTGCTTCAGTGAGTGTTTTTGAGATAAGAAGAAATATGATTAGTATTTACTAGTCTTTCTTCAACTTCTAGTGCTTTTATATTATTGTTAAAGGTTTACATTTTAAGTGTCCTCGTTACACTTTGTCCTGTTGAAGTTAAAATATTTTATATATATATATTTTTAAGGGACAAAGAGTAGCCATTTTAGTCACAGTTTTGGTGAAAGCTATCCTACAGTCTTCAAATTTAGCAAAGTTAGACTTGGAACTTCTGATTTAAGGGCCTTGTAACTTCTGATTTAAGGGAATTTGTAACTCTGTGCCTGGAAGCACATCCAAACTTACCTGTGAAAGTCTGTACATACAATAAAACATAACTTCAGCTGTCATCATTGATTATTTTAACAGACCTGGTGGTGAACTCAATCCAGGAGAAGATGAGGTAGAAGGGCTCAAACGCTTAATGACAGAGGTCTGTTTTCTTTCGTTATGTTGCTATGTGGGAATGTTGGATTATTTTAGATTTAACAGGATAAACCAAAGCATTAGAGTTGTCTCCTTATGGCTTCTGTTATGTTGATGCTTTTGTGATGTTCTCAGGTAGTTAAATAAAGCAGCAAGTTTGCATTTATCTGCATCATGAGTGTGACAGAGCGGTCTAGTGCCTGACCCCTTACCTGCTGCTCAAGTCCTGTGTTCATTCTAAGCTTTGCTTTTTGGCTGGCTTCAGGCAAGTGAGTGTGCAGATGGGCAATAAAATATCTTACAAAGCAGAACTGATGAGGACTTGCTTTTGAGATAGTCTTCCCAATGCACCAGTTAACCTTCCGTGCTCTCCAGGTAACCTCAATTAATTGTGTCAGGTAGATTAACAATGCATTTCACTCTTCCCATTGCTCTGACGGGACTCAGTTCAGCTGAATAAATAATAGAATTTGAAATGTTTTTTTACAGTGTCCTTGTCCTGTCAGGTGAGGCTTTTACTAAAAAAAGACACTTTATACAAAAATACGCTATAATTCTATTAAAAGCTGTTCCAGAGCAGTTCTGAACTACATCAGACCCTTATTACAGAAAGTCTTTATGCTTCTACTGTATGTTTTCTGGAAAAAAAAAAAGAAAAAAAGACTTGGGGTATTTAGAGTTTTGACTGTAACTGGATTTTTGGTAGATACTGGGTCGTCAGGATGGTGTTCAGCAAGACTGGGTGATTGATGACTGCATTGGTAACTGGTGGAGACCGAACTTTGAACCTCCACAGGTCAGTACTCATGTTGATTTTCATCTTCTTCAGTCAAGTATTGATTGTCCTTCCAAAAATCTTCAGCCTACCAGTTGGGCTTTTGGAGTATCTGCTGCATGAACAATTAGTTTTTCTGTTTTTTTTACCTATTTAATCTCTTTTCTGTGGCTGAGAAGACAAGCTCCCCTCTCCCTCCTCTCACCCATCCTGATGGATGAGAAACCACTGGATGTAATAACTTCTAGTCCTGTGCTGAGCCAGACACACCATTTACATTCCTGTTTTAGCCACAATGGAAACTCTTGCACTGCTGCATATGGAACAGATGCCCTGTGAATAAAATAGTCTCACTACCCTATTTCTAAATACTTGTGCAGTTTGCTGTTTTTAACTGCTCATCATTATTGGAGTGTCTTTAGATCCTGTCAATAGTTGTGACAGCAACAGCATTCCTTTTTGAGTGCTTTCTTATAAAATGGTTTTTATTATTTGATGCCATGAAGGAACAACGTATGACATGTTGAAAGCTTGCACGGTGCTTGATAATTTATAAAGTAGAACTTAAAGTTGCACAAGATTTTCGAAGCTCTGTACAACCAATTTTTATTGCTTTTCTTCCAGTATCCCTATATCCCAGCTCATATTACAAAACCAAAAGAGCACAAAAAGCTTTTCTTGGTCCAGCTTCAAGAAAAGGGTGAGTATTTGTTTGCTGCAAAGGATTGTGTTTATAACAATGTTTAAATGTTTGCATTTCATACAGGGAAATGGGGTGGCAAGTTTGTGTTTGTATACTTGCAGTTGTTTATAGTTGATCACTAAAAAGTTAAATGCTGGTATCCATATTGAAGGTAGGTGAATTCCTTTTTCACATGAATTCTCAGTAAATGCTCATTTCTCCTGCATCCGTACACATACAGCACAGGAACCAAATATTTAACTAGAAAAGGAATAAACCTGCTCTGGTGCTCTATGTAGTGATCTTGTTTTGAAGTGTCTGGGGGGATGGTGATACCTTGGCTGAATGTGTGGTGGTTTTTCTTATTAATCAACTTGTATTTGTTTATAGCTTTGTTTGCAGTCCCAAAAAATTACAAGCTGGTCGCTGCACCGTTGTTTGAGCTCTATGACAATGCACCAGGATATGGACCCATTATTTCCAGCCTTCCTCAACTTTTGAGCAGGTATATTATGATTTATTTATATTCTAGTTCTTGGTCACACATTTACTGTGGGACACCAGAGCAAGGTTAGACACTCCAGAAACCAGCTGTGAAAAAGGTTGCAGCTATCCTAGCTGAGAATCTACTTCAGACAAGATGTGAGGGACAATTTAGAGGCACTGAGAGCAACTTGTTAGCACCAAAGTCCTATCTAGCACTTTTAGCGAAGAAAATGTGGAAGATGGTGAGGATGAAGCTGTGCACAGGCTAAGGAACAGCCTCTTGTAGGTGTTGGGGACAACGTGAGAGTAAAAGCCAAGAGGTGTGTTTGAAGCACTGAGGTGGGTGTGCAGGTTACCACAGCTTTGTGCTGATTAAATAATGTGGGTTTTTTAGGCTCTGCACAGTAGAGTTCACAATGTGTAGCATCTTTATAGCACAAGCAAATACAGCTGTATTTTTTTTCTTCCTTTTCCCAACATACACACTCTTTAGTTTTCTTACCTGATAAAGGTTTGTACCTCAGCTCTGCTGAGCTCTCTGGTCTCACTGGTTTCTGTTACCTCAGCACATGTATCTCAGTCATCCCACAGCCTGGCAGCTGTTCCTCGGGGAAGCAGTTCTGATGAAAAAAGTCTGTTATCAGCACTGGTATTGCCCGTAACAGGCTTGTATCATGCTATGGTGGGTTTTTTCTCTATCTAGCCCCAATTTTGGCTGTGCTAGTTGGGGCTTCCCCCTTCCCCTTTACTAAAGTGCCTGAGTAGCAGCAAAACACTGGCTGTTATGCAGCCGAGGGCCAGTTTGGTACCAGTACAACAGACACATCTGAAGGATGGATGTCTGGAATTTGAGGGGGATGCTTGCTTTCACTGTGGGAATGCTGTTTGTTGTGAAACTTAGTTGAGAAGAATTAGCTTTTCTGTTGAGTACGTCCATCTGTTACCCTTGGAGTGGGCCAGGCTGGCCCTGGTAGCAGAAACGCTGGGAGTTGCTGATGGGGTTACGTAACTCTCACTGGTGTTTTCATATTGATGAAGCTGTCTTAAGAGATTAAATGTTACTAATTAGTTCTTCTGCAACCTTTAAGAGACTGATGTGCAATGCTAGCATAGCATTTGCTGTTAAAAATGATGCTTCCTGCTATACTATAAAGCTGTCTTATTAAAAAAATACACTTTTGTTCTCTCAGATGGAGGCTCATCAAGAACAAAACCAAAGCATTTGCTTATTCGTTACAAAATGTCACTTGAAAATTTCTCATGTGGTATAAACCTTTTAATTTTAGGTTCAACTTTATTTACAACTGAATTCCTGTATACCCGAAGAGTCTGATAGGAGAAGCCGTCTCTGTGAGCACAGCTTTAAAATGTAGAGAAAAGAATACGTGTGTGACGCGAGGGGTTTTTTATGTTGTTCTTTTCCTGAAGGCCACTAACCTTTCTATTGGATGAATAGAGAATCTCAGCTGTTTAGGTAGTGGGATGGCAATGTGATCTCAGTGTTTTAATCACTTTTCATTGTAATACTCACCAATTTATTTTTTTTTTGTACAACATTAAACAAAATGGTTAAGATTCTGTTTTTCTTGGGTGTGTGTTTTCTGATTTGCTTGTTTTGTTTTTTTTTTTTTTTTCCTTTGCTTTAGTTGTCTCCTACTTTTAGGTTTGTTTTTTCAACTTTGTTACTTTCCTTCAGGAATACAGAAGATCTTGGAAACAAGGGGAGGACCCAACCCATTCAGGGATCATTTGGATGCTCTGATTTCTGCATCCCTGGGCAGAGAATTAGTCAGAGGGAGAGATTAAACAGTATAAGTAGGTGAAATATAATTTTGAGTCTTTTCTTTAGAGAACAGAATTGCAGTTTTGAGGTTGAAGCCATTGTTGAAAGCTTATCAGAACTGATCTGGAAGTGTTAGTGTTTGTACAGGGCTTGGAGGAAATAGAATGGGTGTCTTCTCCCTCTGTGCCCCCTTAAGAAAATAACAACCCAACAAATTCTGTTGGACTGACCTGAGATCCAGTTAGAATATGGAAGTTAAATTAATTTTGTGTGTTTTCTAAGGCTACAGAACAGAATTTGGGTCATGTTGAAATGTTTTGCCAATGCCACGTGCAAGTGTTTCCATGTTGCAGCAGACTAGTGTGCTGTGTCATCCTGCAAGGAACCCAGTCTCTGCTTCTTCACCTCAACATTTCAGTCTCTTGCAGGTAGTAAATATCAGCCTTTTTAGGGTTTGGGGTTTTTTTACATGCTTGGCTAAAGATCAATTCCAGTTGGGTGTGTCCCTTCTTAATGCCTTCCATAGTTTAGCTTAACTCTTGAAAAGACTTGTTTCCAAACTGTGCCTTTGATCAGAAGATGCTCTGTTGTTTGGGCACTGTCCTTATTTCTGAAGGTGCTGTTGGAGAGTGCGTGCTCCCAAGAGAACTGGCACTTGCTGAAGTTGTGGGTTCTGTTGCCCGTTGTACTGGTAAGCTGTGTGTAGCACAACTACGGCAGCTCACTGCTTCGGTCACACACAAACTGTGAAGGATGGGATCAATAGCGAAGAAATTCTGGAGATGTTAGTGGTAGGGCTGCTCACCTTGGATGGAAGTCCTGGATGCGGGCTTAGCAAAATGTGTAGTTTCTTAGGCAACTGCTAGATGAGGAAAATAAAGTTCTGGGAGAATAAAGTTCTGGCTCCAGTTCTGGAGCCCCCATCACAAGA